CAGGTCACAGCCAGGCAGCAGCCCTCACTGCCAGACTGCTGCAGTGGGTAGAGGGTGCAGGGAACTCTCAGGGCTCCTTCAGCAGTCCATCTGCAACAAGGGGTACTGTCCCCAGGTACCAATAGGCCAGGCCCCAGAAGCTCCTGAGAGCGAGTAGCCCTGAGCTACCTTGCCAAGGCAGCTTTTCGTACTGATGGGGCCAGGACAGTGCAGCTTTTTATACTGCTGGGGACAGCACAGGTGCTGGCCCCCAGGCTCTAGCTTCCCCTGGCTGCAGGTCTGGGAAGAGCCAGGCAGGCTTATTTTGCCCCAAGTGGCACAATTTGCTTCTCAACAAAGTGCATGTCCAAGTACGTGCGCTGAGGCAAAAAGCCCCGGCTCAAATTTGCACCGCTTCTATCTGAGTAGCTACAAGTGTATATGCCTGCATGTGTGGACGCACCCAAAGACTTTACAATCTAAGTAAGAGAGACAAAACATAGGATGGATGCAGAAAGGGGAACCAAAAGTGAGACTAAATTAGTTGGCATGAAAAGTTGAACTTGGCTGCTATCATTCCATATGGCTTATATTAATAAATTCCCCCCTCCAATATGTAGGTCTTCATAACAAAACACAATATACAACTTCTTCCAAACAAACCAGTATTATAGATTCTGGCCCATTTACTTTTATTTTGTTTTATAAATCATTAGTTTGAAACTGCTAAATCTTGACCTGTTTTTATTTAAATTTCAGACGACCAACAGGAATGCTCAGAAGCCACATGGCACCAGTCTTTTACCTCTATGTATCTGAAGAAGATGCCAGAATATTTTCCATGTCCACAGACAACACTCTTAAGGTCTTTGTCTGGGCAGCATCTGTCCAATATCTTGCCTCCAATCTCTCTTTCTTTATGGGGAAATAAGATCTCTCAGTATGTTCTATAAAAATGAACCTAAACAAGGTGAGTGCAGTATAAAAAAAAAAAAATAGAACCTGATCAGCTGTAATTGAAGTCAATAACCTCTCACTGACTTCATGGGATTTGGATCTGACCATTTGATGAATATAGAGAGTCTAATTCCAGCTGCTGGTTCTGTAAGCCAAAAGTTCTGTCAGCTTTTCAGTGCAACAAACCCCTTCATTCTTAAACATTTTGGTACATGATAGCAAAGCTTTTAACAGGCATCTACTGCTTTGAAAGTGTGGCTGTACTTCAAAAATAATTTTGTAACACAGAACAGACATTAGGGTTCTGCCCTAAGGTATGTATTCTTGCGGTTTGGGGTGGGGGGGAGGTTCCCTTCATTTGTCAAAATGTTGCTACCTTCAACTGTGTGTGTAGTGTAAATTATGCATAGGCTACTTATTAAAAGACCTTTTATTAAGGCTGCAAATTCCTAGTCTAATTCCTTCAGATTCCTTCAGTTCCCCCCTCCCCATCAGATTGGTTTCCCCTCTACCCTCCCCTCCCTTTCCCCGGCCTCACTATTTCTTAGTTCTAGTCTCTTGTAAAGCTAGTCCCAGACTTCACCTCAAATCTAGTATCAGCTTCTTCCTCTGCTTCCCTGCTATCCTCCAATTGTTTTTTTTTTCTATCCGTCAAGCTTCTTTTTCTATTTGATTTTTTTCCCCTACTGGTTTTGTTTCCTATGTATAGCTCTGTCCAATAATAAAGGGACTCCATCTGGAATGCAAGAACTGTGATCTCTATTTAGAAGAGCCATGTGCTCAGTGCTGCTGCTTACATCCATATGACACCATGTGTGCTCAGAACTATTGTGAAATTCTCCAAGTTTCCAGTGTCACCCTCCAATGGCACAGACAGAAATTACATTTGTCATGCAATTGACCCCTTAAAAGTGCTGTACAGCTGTGCCCTAACAGAAGAGCACGGCTGCAAAGTGCTCTGATTGTGTGATAAATTAACCCTCGTTGTATGACTCCAGAGTCTTCAGCAGCCTCTGGAGTCAAATGAAGGCACTTCAAAGTGGAGCTCCTTCATTAACTTGTCTGCTCCGGCAACTGGACTTGCTTCAGCCCAGCCCTGCCTCCTGTGCTGTCATCCTCCCATCCTGAGACAGCATCGGAGCAGCGGGAGGGGAGGGCAGGGTTGAGGGGAAGAGGCTGTTGACGTAGCCTCTCTTGCTGGATCAGCTTCAAATTGGAGCTTGATTTCCTCCACTCTCCTGACCCAACAGCTAATGTCTGTTGGGACAGAAGGATTGGTGTAATTCATAGCACTTTCCACAAAGCTCCATGAATTAGACCAGGGAGCTGAACTTCTGTCTGTGCCTCAAATCATCTCCACTACAACTTGTGTTCCAACCTGCAGGCCATTACAAGTCCGTCTCTTAGCCCTTTCACAGTTGAATTGAGCAGCTTTCCCTCCCTTTCTTCCCTCCTCCCCTTCCTCCACCCTGTTGCTGGGACTGTATTTCTTGATAATACAGGACAGACAAGCTCTTTGCTCCCAGTTCAGATGTCCACTCAGAGCTGCAAGAGTCTAGAACTGCAACTGCAGGGAAAGTCCTGCTCAGCGCCCCCATGAGATGTGCCTGGTTGTGGGCTGTTTTTTCAGGAGACTGAAAAGAAGACACTACTGAGCAGGTGCTTGAGTTGTTTTTGCTATGTTTTGAGGTTTATAACGACACTAAATTTGGGTGGATTTTCATGACAAAAGGCACATCCTTGATGCACAGTTTCTCCCTTACCACATTCATGTCTGTGCTCCAAATCCTGGAGCAGTAAGAATCTCTTCAATGAAAAGGCCATTGCATTTTTAAAGGGCAAAAACAGTGGGTTTTTTTTTTCCAAAACTCGTTCTCAGAAATGGCTTTACAGTGTTAGCTGAGATCTTATCAAGATTTTTTTATTTTTTATTTTTATTTATTTTTTATTTCATGTAAGCCCAAACAGTTAGTTTGGTAAAGTTGTAAGCAATGGAAAACAACCTCTTATCAGAAGGAGTGCTAAGTAACATTAATGAAAGGGGAGGTTAGCTTGCCTACTGATTATATTTATTGTAATTTTCCCATTTTACATTTCTTCAAATTTAAGGCTTCCAGTCTAAGGTTGGATTTCTGACTGCTATATTAGTAAGCATTCTGGTATTATTAATTTAATGATTTATTTAACTACAAGAGAACTTTCTTTAAAACCCTACATTTCAGTCTGTACTTCATAGCCTTGGACCTCTGGCAATTTATGTTCATCCTGTTTCTTGGCAGAGGATTCCACCATATTTCTCCAAGTTGGTATCTGGTTGGTATCAGGCCCAATTTTGTTGTATTGCTTACATTGTAACAAATTCTGGTTCTCTCTATTTTCTAATCAATTGAACTCTCCATTACCAGTCCAGAAATTGTGAAGAGAGCTGCTGTCAAAGGCTATCATTGAAAGCCTTAAAAATGATAGGAACTCATTGGTTTCACAGCTATTCTCCCATAGTTTTATTTTTGTGTGTTTGTTTGCTTGTTTTAATAGCAGGCACAACAGTTACAATATAAAAAAACCCCCAAAAACAAAAACCTTGAAAAGTGAAGGGAGCCAAACAGTTTCAGGGCTGCTAGTACCACAGCAGTGTATACACAATGAGATTAATTGTTTCCATTAAATTCTGATAAATACATGCTCTGGGTAAAATGCATAGCCTTTTTTTAGTTATGAGGCTAAATGGAGTCTGCTGTGTGTCCACTGACATTAGTAGATATCCACTAATGAGGAATTAGCTCATACATGAGCATAACACTAGTCTGTTTCTACACAGCACCATTCATCTTGGAGCCCTTTGACAAACTGTGTGTTAGATTCAGCAGCCTCTGAAGTCATTAGGCAGGCTCTCAATGACCTCAGGGAAGTGGGGGTGAGCAATAGGCCAGCTCTACACATCTGCTTGTGCCAGATGCTGAGCACTGTTAACTCCCATTGATGTCATATGACTGGATGCCATAGTGGTGAGTATATTACAGAGACCTGAAATAGGTAGTTGGTACCTTCTGGGAGTGAAATGTAGCCAGTACTGGACTGGAAAGGAGCAGTAAGAAAGATAGCTTGTCTAGAGGGGGAAGGAAAAATATCAGTCCAGGATGCCAAAGCAGCCCTCTACACAAAGCTCCCATCTCTTAATGTCAGTGGTACAATGGCAGGGTGATTTGATCAAACTGATAATCATAGGACCATAGGAAAGTAGGGGTGGGAAGGACCTTATGGCAGGATAATTCCTGAAAAAAAATCACAGCCAAATGTTTGTACAACTACTACTGAAAATTTCCAGGGATGGAGATGTCACCACATCTCTGCATAGCCTCCTCCAAAGTCTGATCACCAGATCAGTCAAAAGTGAATTATGTTGTAATGATACATTTCTTAATAAATGTTATATATAATGATGAAATTAATATCAAGCTACCTAGTAAATACTACTGTAGTATAGAAATGCTATTACCTATGCTGTAATAATAGGGAAATAATATACACATATAATTTGTATGTAAATCACATGTACTGTATTTACTCGAATCCCAAGATGAGACTTTTTTCCTGTTTAACATCCGGGGTGGGGAGGCTGCTGCGGCTTCAGCCCTGACCCAGAGTTAGGGCTTGAGCCACAGCTGCTGCCTGCCCCTCCACTACCTCTGCCCCTGCCTGCAGCAGTGTGGGGAGGGGGAGGATGAATTTAAGATGATCCTCTAATAATTATATCTATACATGGAAAGTTATAACAAACTTACATATTTTCCACTTATCGAAATCTAATTACTGGGGAGTCCTCTTAGATTTGAATATTTACATGAAATATTAGTCCCTATACTTTTATATAGTGTTATACAAATATTATTCCCAATATTTGTAATATTTATATGAAATATTATTCCCTTTACTTTTCTATCATAGCATATTAATACTTACCTGTAAGTTACGTTATATTATTATATACTAATTACATTATTATATTACATATATTTTATATTGATACAACTCCTAAATATGCTGTAATTAAATGTTGACAAGTTTGATGATCAGTCTGATAATCAGTTTGATTAATAATCCATGCACTATATTATAAATATCTACTCAGAGAGTACTTAGTAGCCAAGTAGCTTTTTATGGCTTTATCAGAAAGACCCTGAGCCAGTTAATTATATGGAGATGGGTTTGAATTCCAGGAAAACAGCTGACCCATCTTTGCTAAGATTTACATCAGTGGTTTCACACTGTCACAAACATTGTGCTTCCTTCTGCCTCATCTCTGTTCTGCCTCATCTCTGCTAGTAGCTAAAACTCAAGCAGAGCTGCACTGGTAGAACTATCTCTAGTGAGGCATTGCATAAATCATGTATGGGTCCAGCTTATTTGTGACTTAAAAACTGCTGCACCACACTCATCATATTGTCCAAATCTAGGAATCCACCATGGCTAAGCTCACGGTACAGACTGGGTTTGGGGTAATATGGTGATTGGGGTTTAAAAAAAAAAATCTTATCTCCATTGCCTTTTATGTAAATTGGGAGTAGGTTCTTTGAAGCCTGTGGAAAAAATGTTTTGTATACCAGAGCAGAATTTCTCATTCTGTCCATTGTATATTTTTCTAATGTGCCCATTGCTAACATCTTCCAATAACCCAGCTCAAGTCCTTTCCTTTTAAAGCCTCAGACATAATTGCAACACTTCCTGAGTAAGTAAGTTAGTTGCTTCCTTTTGTGGCTCAAATGCCAAAAGGCCCTGATACAGCAGGAATGTGACAGAACTTGGGTTCTAAATTCCAATGCACCATGTACCACTTGGATGGGAAGGGAAGCACAGCAGAGCACTTCTACAGCCACCTAATCTTCAGTGAAGATTAGAACATGGCCTTGTTCCTTTATTTTTTTATTTTGGCTTGTGTTACATCTCTCTTTGTAGATCTGGGACATTGAGGACCACAGCTGCTTGTTTACAGCTTGCTCAAAAAGCAGTGGAATTAAAGGGGAGCTTACTGCCTGCCACTACATACCAGGCACCCGATCACTTTATGTCGCCACGGATACACTCGCTCTTCTTCATCTGCGATTAAGGTAGAAGTACAAGCCTACGTTGGTTGGAGGGCTTTTGAGCTCATTTAGCTGCAGTTCAGAGTGTGGGTGGGTTGGGTACATGTCTAGACTCTAGAGCATTGGAAAGACAATTGGAGAAGTTTGCCCTTTGTGGGAATGGGCTGGTGCAGAACTCTTGGTCCTTTCCCCTCCTACCTATATATTAAGACTTGCTCCTAGCCTAGAGGACCAATGACAACTGTGGTCGCAAGGCTTGTTCAAATTCACTTGAATTGGCCTAGCTGGGGCAGTGCTGAATGTGAAGACAAAAGCCTCCTTCATCTTCTCCCTGCTTCTACTGCCTGTAAGCAACACTTGTGACATTATGTTGGCCCCTTTGGCTAGCATGAAGAAATTAGAAACAATTAATAAAATAGAATATAGGATAGAATCAGGGTGGATAAAAATCAATGATTTTTAAATCAAACTGGATTTTTAATTTAATTGCATCCTTTGTTGAGATGGTTTTAAAAGAACTTTATATAAACATAGTTTTAATTTAAGGTATGTTAAAGCTTAAAGATGTCATCATGGAACAGGGATTATAACTTCTAATTATATACTATTTGAGATGATATATTCATGTAACCTTTTTAGAAATTGTATAAATAAATCACAACAGGTCATGGATTATATTAGGGGCCCAATCTTATGGGGTTCCCAGAGGCTCCTCTATAGATTAGTAAAGACTAAAGAAAATCACTCTATCCAATGGGACTCAGGGCTCAGTCTGGAAGATCCCATTAAGCATCTCTGTGATGCTTCGTTTCAGTTTTCAAACTGTGGTTTTGTGTCTCCAGAGATCATAGGCAGACAAGATTCATAGATTCATAGATGCTAGGGTCGGAAGGGACCTCAACAGATCATCGAGTCCGACCCCCTGCATAGG